TTCGTCGTTCAATTTATTACGGTGTTTTCTAATAATCAAGGAGCTTCTGGAGAAAACTCTTTCTGAGGCGACGGATGTGGCTTGAATTGCAAGAAAGTCTTTAGCCATTCGTGAAAGATTTGGAAACGTATTTTCGTTTTCTCTCCACCATTCTAAAATATTTACATTTTTGTGTGCTCCTTTTTGCGAAAAATAAAAATCAATTTCGTATCGCCATTCTCTGTTTTGACAATCTTTCTTCCTCTTGTTTTGAATTGTTGGAGTTAAATTTTCAGAATCACTATCGTAAAACGAAAATATGTCAATATCATCAATGTCTTGTTGAAAATCTTGATCTTTTTCTTGTATTTCATTTGAAGCAACCTATTGAATAATAAATTAATCATTAAAAAAGTTTTATTTAGTAAAGTTAAATTTCTCAAAATTTAAGTAATTAATAAATTTAACTTTAAATGATGTCAAATTATCAACTAGAATACGTGCTGCACAATGAAATTTCTGTAGGACTTACTTCAAGAGGTGGCTTGTAATATTTATTTTTGAAAATATTTTCAAATTTCGCAATAGAATATCGTGCCATTTCTTTTCCCCAGCTGGTTTTGTCAAATTGCTCTTTTTTGTGTCTCGGGTCTAAAATTAAAACCACACAATAAATCCAATTACTTTTATTATAATGTTTCATCATTTTTATTTTTGCTGCATCAATCGCCTCTATGATTTGTTGTTCAATCGCAGTCGTGTTTTGCTCTGTTAAAGAAGTACTTGCTTCTTCCAATTTATCAAGAAGTAAGTTAAATGCGACGATAACGTATGGCAAAGTAGTGTATTTTTCTCCACTAAGAATGTCAGAAATGGTTTTAAAGTACCGCAAATATTTAGAAATTTCTCGCAAAACTAGCCATTCCTCTTCCATTAAGCATAAGTTACTAAGAGTATCATTGTTTCGACAGATTAATTTTAAAGCACTTTCCATTTTTAATGCAGTTTGAATCATTTCGTAGCTAGAATGCCATCTTGTCTTGCAGTCGAGATTTGGAGACAACATTTTAATATTACACGAATCACAGCAGCTTCTTAGTTTATTCTTCCATTGCTCTGATCTTCTTATAATACTAAAAAGTTTTTGAATCTTTTTAATCGGACTGTGACTACTGTAGTCTGTTACAACAGCTTCTATTTCTAACTCCATATTTTCAAAATCATCGTTCCTAATATTTTCAGACTCTTCTTCACTATCTGAACCGATAGTCTCATTCAAATCAAGATCCAAGTCATCATTATTACTAGAAATTTTGAGTTGCTTAAGCATATCTTGAGCAGCCAAATTGAGAACGTGAGCCCAGCATTGAAAATGTTGATTTTCAAAGTCGAAGTCCATAAGGTAAGATAATTCTTTGACGAACGTTGTATTCGATGAAGCGTTGTCTGTGGTGATTCCCTGCACTTTCTCCAACAAATTTGCAGATTGAATGACTTGAAAAAAGGCAGAGGCAATATCACGTCCTGCGTGATTTCCATTTGAAGGAACAAAATCAATCAGAAACGAATGCAAACTCCAGTTGTCATCGATAAAATGAATTGTTATTCCATGATATGAGCGTCCAACAATAGAAGTCCAACTATCAATAGTGAACGAACATTCTGACTTGCTTTCCATTATAAGACGTAGAGCAGATTCTCGCATAGATGTAAATCGAATATTTATTAAATTTCTTAATGCTTTACGCTTCGGCAAATTAGCTGCTGGGTTCAAGTACTGAAAATAATTTTGTGTTTCCTGGTCATCAAAAAAGCTGTACGGTAAATATTTTCTCACTACCAAATCCACTGTCATATTATTAAAATGTTCTTGCGAAAATACCTGTTTAAAAAATTTAATTCTTTTAGTTATAAAATAATTTAATATAAAAAACTTTCTAAATTTTAATTGATAGTGAAAAATCAATCACTCAATCAAATAGTAATATTTTCTTGTTTAAATTGTTAAAATAATTAGTAAAGTTGAATTTACTTTTATATTATATCTAAATAACTAAAATTTTTATTAATTGAATCAATTAGTTAAGTATAACTATTTTTGTAGTAATTTATTTATAGTTAATTATTTTCTACTCTACATAATTTATTTTCTTACTAATTTTTATTTTATTTATTAATTTTACTAATTTATTTTACTAATTTCCTTAGCAAAATATCAGCAAACATTTTACTAATAATTAGATCTTTGTAACTAATTCAGTTTTAGTGAAAGCAAAAATTATCTTCTTTCAAAGAAAATTTCAAAGATTGTGCCTTATAATTAGCCAAAATTAATTAATTAAAGTTAAATTGATTAAACAATAAACCATTTTATTTAATAAAATAATCCATTTAGATTTACTAGGTTAGCATGAATTAGAATGACTCTTATTTACATTTATTTTGATAAAACGATATCTGAAATAAGTACAAATAAGTATATTGATGGAACAATTTCACAAAATCATACTTGTATTTAAAAATTAAATAAGACTTTTAAAAATTGTTCTAAACAGATATAGTAATTTTAATTATTAGAACGTAATAGAAAAGATGGCATTAACCCTTTGAGGACCACGGTTGCTTTCAAGCAACATGAAAATTTTTTTGGTAACTCATGCATAACTTTTTTTTTAAACTGAATATCGAAACGATGTTTTTATTTTCATCTTATCTAGTAAATTTTCGATTTCAAACACTACAATTCCGTCAGAAACCGTTAATTAGTCTTGCTGAAAAACGTTTTTAAAACTGCAAAATCATGATATTTTTAAAATCAATTTGGTCCTCAAAGGGTTAAGTTTATTTAAATTTAATAATCTCGAAAATTGATTATAACAGAATATATAATAATAGTATGTATAAGTATATAACAAAATAATAAATTTAATTTAAATTTACTTCATTTTGTTGCATTGGAATAGTTTCCCAAATTTCAGAATTTTTCAAGGTGCCGTTTAATACTGGTGGTGTTACCGCTTGTCATTTTAATTCGTTCTTCATAATGTTTTTCCGCAAAACATAACTTGCAATGTGCAAATTTTAATTTGTCCTCAAATTTGAATTCGAAATATTCATCAAGAGATTTTCCACCTTTTTTGCGTTTCGTCATTGGCTGACGAACACTAAATTTTAATTTTATTTATAAAAAACTTAAATAGATTGCATTAAATTAAGTAAATAAAAAAAGGTGTTTTATTTATTAATAACTTTAATTTGAAATTTGAAATTCTGTAATTTAGGTTAATTTTTTTTATAAATTAGATAGTTTTTATATAATAAAATTTTAAATAAAACAAAATCAACTTTGTAAGAGATCCATTTGCAGATCCTGATGGTTGAGCATTTGAATCTGGTTCTAGTGATCTTTTCGAATGAGAATTATTTGGTGTATCAAGTGACATCTTGTAAATATAATCGAGATATAATGAGAAATGAGAAAAGATGAGACGATAAAAACAAAAATTAACTGAGCTGATCAAACATGAGACAACTTCATAAATAATGAGAATGAGAAAAACATTTGAGTTTCTAGTATCGTCGTCCAACACTAAACAAAACCAAAAATTATCTAATTATTTAAACATTATTTAAACAATTTATTTTGTTAATTTTTCAATTAACTGTACTTAACTAGAAATTCCTTAGTTTTTCTCAATTTTAAATTTTTTTTATAATTTAAATACTTAATTATAACAGTAAAACTAAAAGAATGTTATTTAACCATTGATAAACAATTAATAATTTTTCAATTGATTATACATTTAGGGCATTTATAATTTTTCAATTGATTATAAATTTAGAGCATTTATAATTTTTCAATTGATTATAAATTTAGGGATAAAATAATAATATAATAATATAATAATAATAATATATAATAATAATAATAATAATAATAATAATAATAATAATAATAATAATAATAATAATATAATGTAATTATAAATAATATAATAATCTATAATTTATAATCAATTATAAATTCCTGCATTTTTGCCAATAATGCAACTTTTTATAGTAAAAAAACTATATATATATATATATATATATATTTAATTTATATTTATTTTTAAATAAATAATTTATTATTTTTTATCAGTAGATTTTTTTTCATAAAAAATTGCACGATTGAAAAAACTAAATTTCTAACCCTAAGTACAGTTTATGAAAAAAATAACAACAATTAATTATTGTTTAAACAATGTTTAATTAATTTATTTTTTATCATTAGTAGATGTTTTACTCATTGAAAAATTGAGAAATTGCGAGAAGACTAGAAATTTCTAGCCCTAACTACTGTTTATGAAAAAATAACAAAAATTAATTGTTTAAACAATTAATTAAATTGTTATAGTTTTTTTCGTCCATAAGAAATACTTAAACATTATTTTAATATTATTTTTGATATTCCTCTGATATTCTCTTAGATTCCCGCGTCAATGGACCGCTGCGCGTGACGTCACATGCAAATCCCGTTCTGCTCGGGATAAACAATGTTTAAATAAGTCAGTTGTCCAAGCCGTGCCATTTTTTTTCTCAACGGAATATTACTCAGTGGTAATCAGAGAATAAGTACTATTTTTTTCATTTTGAAATTCGATTGAGAACATGGTTTTTTGCTAATTTGTTATAAATAAATAATTTGTTTATTTATTAAATTTCAATATTTTTTTACGAAAAAAATTTTATTCAAAACTTTGACTCAAATAAAAAAGAATGCCTCTTGAATCATTAAAATCGGTTAACAAGTTTCTTTTTAATTAATTTTTTAAAAAAAAGTGTCTGAAAACTTTAATTGTTTATAACAATAACAAAAATTTTTTTTTTGGCAAATCCTTTGACATAGTGTTTTTTTATGTAAAGCACTATAGAAAAAACAACATTTTGGCCAAAAATAAATTTTTTGAATTTTAGGTGGCACGTTTCAAAAATTCTTACTCATATATATATTTGTTCTGAGCAAATATGGAGATGTATGTGTGTTTGTGTTCTTGCTTTTGTTTTAATATTTAGAATTCATCTAACCTATATTTTCTGACAACGAATTGAGGAGATTTGATACGTTTACCTAAAATCAAAACGATGAACAACGAGGAGACAGGACAGGTAAAAATAATTAATTATAATTTATTTGTTAAAATGAATTATTTATAAAAATTTTTAAATAAATTTATTTAAAAATTTTAATTTTAAGTAAAATTACTTGCCAAATAATTTATAAATAATAATTATTTAACAGTTTTAGGCATTAAAAATAAGAAATTTTTATTACTTCTAGAAATTCCATTCTTTTTCAGTATTTTTTCAATAAAATTCCAAAATATTTCCTTCACTTGTGGCAACCCTGAATTTCACTCTAATATACAAATAATTTTAATTATATTTGATTAATTAAATTAAATTATTAATAATAATTAAGAGTTAATTAATTAATAATAAATTAATTTAATATTATTTTATTACTGTACTAACTAAAATATTTTTTTAAAGTTTATGAAAAACAAAATTATCATCCTTTTGACAATTACGATAAAAATTTCCCAATTATGAATCCGTTTTCTCGAAAAAAACGAGTGAATAAAAATAGTTTGGTAAGTTGTAAATTAAAGAATGTCAATTAATAATTTTAATAGAAAAAATTAAAATGAACTTAAATCTTAAATATAAAGATTATTTAATTCCAAATTTAAAATGCTACAGGGTTGCCACAAAAATTTCATTTTGTTTTTCCCTGATTTCCATATAGAATTTTGACTGATTTTAAAAAACCATTTAGTTGTTTTTGTCAAATTTTCCTAGATTATTTTTAACAACCCTAATAAAATTTTTAAAAAATGCAATTATTCTCAATACAATTTTCAGAATTTTCGGTTATTTTACAAATTTTCAATTACTTTTTATAAAATTTATAGAATTTTAAATAATATGTTTAGAAACTTCTATCAAAAAATGTTTGTACAATTTTTTTTCAAATTCAAGTATCTTTAAACAAATTAATTAAAATCGTTTAAAAATTCAATTTTTTAGAATTTTAATTAAAATTAGCTGAAACTTAAATAAATTTTATAGTAATTCTAGAAGATTGTTATTTCTCTTGTAATATCTGATAAAATTCCCAAAATTATTCCTGATTTCCGTGACTTTTATCAAATTTGTGCTAAATTACAAAAAAATGATTGAAATTTTATTATTAATAAAAACGACACATTCGGACAACAATGTTACTTTTTATTTTTATGATTTAACTCGAAACGTTGGACATTTTTAAAAAATAAAAAATAAAAAGTAACATTGTTGTCCGAATGTGTCGTTTTTATTAATAATTTAATTATTCTCGGACGTAAAAATTCTATGAAATTTTATTAATTACTTTAATAATATATTTTATTCTATAAATTCTAATTAATTGATTTTTTTAGGGCGATGGAAATGATTATGTGCGTTCCTTGGAGGAAAAAGTGAAAAAATTGAAGAAAGAAAAGGAAGAATATTTGGTGAGTAATTAATTTATTCGGGATCAAATAACACATTTGAGCTCAATAGTATGACAATATTGCATGGCAATATTTTTAACATTTTCCGGTAATGTTAAGTCAGTATTAACTCAAATATGTATTAAAAAAAACTTTTTTCTAATGAAGGTGATTTTCTAATTTTATTTCTTCTAATTAAGGTCATTTTCCAAAAATTTATTTTTCTAATAGAAGTAATTTTCAAATTTTTTTGTTTATAACAATAATTTTCAATTTTTGTAATGACGATAAATAGGAATATGATTAAAAAATAAAATTTAAGAAAATTTTTTAATTCCTTAAAAAAATACTTCATATTTCGTTAAAGAATTATAATAAAAAATAGAAATTATGCAATATAATCTAGTTAAAAAATAACAAACAGAAATTATAGGGATTTTTCCTAAAGATTTTTAAAATTTTCTAAATAAATTAATTCTGGAAATTTTTGTATAAAAATGATGCAAAATATTATTTTTTTTAGAGAAGAACAGAATTTTGTCCCTAACAAATTGTGATAAGAAATAATAATTTTATAAAATTTTTTCTTCTTTTAAAAAAAAAATTATAATTTTGTCAACAGAATTGTGACTGTGAATAAGAAAATATGCAAAATAGTTTCTATTTCATAATCTTAATTTTTTAACAATTTTCTAGATTTTATCAAAATTATAGAATTTTACAAATTTTAAGAAAATAAATATTAGAAATTATAACTGGGTCAGTCCATTATATTTCACCTGAAGCCGTTGCGGCCTATTTTTAAAAAAATCTCATAATTTGTAAAAATGATGTTTAATATCCATAAAATTCATTTTTGAGAATTATTTTATAAAGTTTTTTGAATTTAACTTAGAATTATAATTTTTAAGTTGTGTTGCACAGAAAAAAGGTTAGATTGACAGTTATGAAAATTAAATAAAAAAGCATGGAAATACTTTAGATAATGCAAATTTCTTGATTGATATTTGCTAAAAATGAGCTAATTTACTTGTATAAATAAATTATTATGTAAACATACCCAAAATAATAGATAAAAATTGATTTTAAAATTTACCTATGAAATGTCAAAAGTCACTACATTTTAATTACATTTTTCTAAAAAGTTTATAAATATTAAAAAATTTATTACTACTTAATGTAAAGTATTTTCAATGTACTTTCATAATATGTGCTAACTTTTTAATTTTATAATATAGAAATATGAAAAATTTTACCTTTATTATTGAGTGTTTCATGATTTTCATTGATTTTAATTACTTATTTCTTCTCAGGTGCAAGACTAAAAAATCCAATTTTTGTCTTAATATTTAAGTTTGAACTTTTTTTCCATTCTATTAAATTTTGGTGGTGGAGAACGAGCTATTTTGTAGTTTTATTCATGTTTAAAAAATCTGCTTCCAAAAGCGAGTTTGTTGGTTAAAATTCAGGTAATTTTATAACACTGAAGTTGGCTATCTCAATAGTCATGCAAAAATCTACTTGCATTTTAACCAACAAATTCGTTTTTTCAGCAGATTTTTTAAACTAAATTTAAACTGAAAAGTAGCTCGTTCTCCATCACGAAAATTTAATAGAGTGGAAAAGAAGGTCAAACTTAAATATTAAGACAAAAATTGGATTTTTTAGTCTTGCACCTGAGAGGAAATAAGTGATTAAAATCACTGAAAATCATGAAACACTCAATATTAAAGGTAAAATTTTTCATATTTTTATATTATAAAATTAAAAAGTTAGCACATATTATGAGAGTACATTGAAAATACTTTACATTAAATAGTAATAAATTTTTTTATATTTATAAACTTTTTAGAAAAATGTTATTAAAATGTAGTGACTTTTGACATTTCATAGGTAAATTTTAAAATCAATTTTTATCTATTATTTTGGGTATGTTTACATAATAATCTATTTATACAAGTAAATTAGCTCATTTTTATCAAATATCAATCAAGAAATTTGCATTATCTAAAGTATTTCCATGCTTTTTTATTAAATTTTCATAACTGTCAATCTAACCTTTTTTCTGTGCAACTCAACTTAAAAATTATAATTCTAAGTTAAATTCAAAAAATTTTATAAAATAATTCTTAAAAATGAATTTTATGGATATTAAACATCATTTTTACAAATTATGAGATTTTATTAAAAATAGGCCGCAACGACTTTAGATGAAATATAATGGACTGACCCAACTTTTTAGAAAAACTTTTTTTAAAAATCGAAATTTGTTAAAAAAAAATTTTTTAGAAAACATTTCATTATAGGGATCGCTTTTTTTAAACAAAGGATTAGAACATATTTTTTTAAAAAAATGACCACCTACCAATAATTATAATATGATTATATAATAATGTAATATTTTAATATATTACAACATTACCTGTCAATTATGATTCAATATTTCATAAATATCGCGTCAACATTGCCAAGCAATGTTCCCACAGAGCGGACATAATTAATGCTGATGTCACCTCAACATTCATTGTCAATATTGGAACAATTTTGAGCTCAAATGTTGTGCTATTTGAAGAATATGATTGTTAATCTATTATGACGTCACAATTTTAAAATTAAAACTCATAATGATTTAAATGCTCTTAAGATAATTTTAAAACTTTTACTGTTCTTTGTGAAATGTATATTTATAATCTTATTTACAGAGAAATGAAATTCTTCGACCAGGAGATAACACTTGTGGTGAGTTTAAAATTAAAATTATAATTAATATTATAAATTAAATAACATCCAGTGAAGAAAAAGCCTTGTTCGCTTCAAAAAAGTTATTGAAACAATTTTAGAAGGTTTCATATCCGTCATAAATAATATTCTAGAACATTTTAAGAACATGAATGTTCAAATAATGTTCTAGAACATTTTCTTGATTGACATGAAACGTTCTGAAAACGTTTTTTTGGAATGAACATGATTTTTTGTCTAATGAGTAATAATTGAGTATAAATAAAACGGTAAATGAATTGTGCTCAGATTTGTCATACATTCGAAAATAAAACGAGAATTGACTGAAACGTGTAAAATTATTTATATTTCTTAAATTAATCCATTTATTTGTTGCAGAGATGGATACTGAGGATCCAGGACCCAACGCAGATCCTTCAATTAACACAGCAAATAACTCCGGGTCATTAGCCGGACCGAAAAGATCGTCGAAACAGTTATTACATGGTATATTTATTTTTTTTAAAATGCTATTGATTTGCCACAAAAATTTTATTTTGTTTTTCACTGATTTCGATATAGAATTTCAACTTTTGACTGATTTCTTTAAAAAATTTAGTTGTTTTTGTCAAATTTTCTTATATTATTTTTAACAACTCTAATAAAATGTTTAAAAAATGCAATTATTCTTAATACAATTTTAAGAATTTTCGATTATTTTACAAATTTTGAATTACTTTTTTATAAAATTTCTAAAGCTTTAAATAAAATGTTTAAAAACTTCTATAAAAAAATGTTTGTACAATTTTTTTAGCTGAACCACGGATGCAAACTTTGGGTCCAAGTTCCAACGGAAGTCTTTTAATTGACAAAGCAAATAACTCCGGATCATCAGCCGTGCCGAAAAGATCGTCGAAAAAGTTAAATGGTATATTTATTTTATATCTTTTATGATTTCTTTTTATAATTTTGGCTATTTTGTCTATTTAAAATTTTGATTAGACTATTTTATTAATTAAAAAAAATTTCAAAAGAATTCAATCATTTTCTAAAATTTTAATAAAATTCTTTTTAGGAATTTAATTACATTTTCAATTAAATTTTAATTACATTTTTTTAAATAATATAATGTCTTGCTAAAATGTCTTTCAATAAATGAATTATTTTTATAAATAATAAATTTATTTGCTTCAATTAAATTATTCTTTTAGTGCAATATTTCTAAAATTGTTCGAAATAATTCACTTATTTTAAAAAATTGTAAATTGTAATAAAATTCTAGAAAAAACTCAATTATATTCAGAAATTTTCAATAAAATGGAGTAATCAAATTATAATTAATAATAATAGACTCGATTATTTCAAAAAGTAGAAAGAAATTCTTCGTTAAATAAGTTCTACTTATTAATACTTCTTTAGCAATTTGAAAGCTCGTATTAAAGAAATTCAAAATTAAGAAGAAAGTTGTTTAAAAAAGTTAGAAGAAAATCAAACAACTAACTAAAAACTGCTGACAGATTGCCAAAATTCAACGATTATTATTAATATATAAATTTTTTTCATTTCAGGAAACCAAGGGTCAAATAAAAGGGCTGGCAGATGGGTCCAGTCAAGAAAGCTATATGCCAAGGCTAATCGCTCAAGGCAATTCGCAAAATTCCTTGTGGACCTATTTGACCAGTCCACATCGACTTTTCATCGGCAAGGAAAAGGTCACGGTCGAGGTCCCGGACGTGGTCGCGGACATCAAAGTCAAAGAAGACGTTAAAATTAATTTATTAATTATTAATTAATTTTGATTAATTAAAATTATTAATTAAAATTAATAAAATATAATATTATTAAAAAATAATTTAAACGCTATTTTTTTGTAATAATTATTACAATTATAAAATATTTTTTTATTATTCATAAAATATAGGGGAGAGTGGTCCTAAGTTGGCCGTGGGCCTAAGTTGGCCACCCTGCATTTCTCAGAGATGGTATACTGGACGAATCTATAATTTTGTGGTATGATATATTGATAAACCATGATATAATTTATGGACCTAATTATAATCTAAGATTCTTCTACGCATTGTGAGGACAATAATATTGTTTTTGACCAAAAAAATTTGATTTTTCTTGTTTTTTCGAGAGCAGCTACAAGAGATAAATAATTAAAAATTTCTAAATAAGTGTGTGCGCTAGTTCCTTTATTTAATGTTGTAATAAGAGGTTCTGTTGATTTTTGAAATAAATTTTTTTTATTAGCGTAATAATTTGAAACTTGTAAAAATCTACAGTAGTCCTAAGTTGGCCACCTATTGTTTTTGTTTGTTTTTATTTATGTTTTATTTCTTCTTTGTGTTTTTTATCACGAGAAAGACCGTAAAAGTGTAACGTAGGAATTAAACAAAGACAAAAAACAAAAAAAAATGGTTTAAAAAACATTAGAAAAAATGAAGTACAAAAACGCCTGTCTCTACAGCCATCCACCACTGTAAATAAATGAAATAAAATATTGCTTCATTTTCTAAACAAAAATAGTTAAATAATGCGTTTTTATTCTCCTAAATGTATCAAATTTGTAAAATTTCTGCGTAATTGAAAAGAATATGCATTTCTTCCTTATACTCAAGCGAAAAAAAGTGGTGGCCAACTTAGGACCGCTATTTCTGAAATGTCCAAAATGCAGCTTTTCACGATTTATTGTATTAAGACTACAAAAGTCATTCTATAACGTTCTAAATACCACAAAATTATAGCAAAACGATCTCTGAACACTAATATATACTTGCCGAAGTGATTAAATTTCATTTTGTTACTATTTTCGACCAATTTGCTTAGGCGGCCAACTTAGGACCACTCTCCCCTAACATTAGAACAATTACATACAATAAATTATTTTACCTTTCTCATAAAACGGACTATTTAAGACGGAATATTTAAATAATTAAATTTAATATTCAAATTAACAATAAATGAATAAAAAATAATAAATCAACTAATAAAAAATAAATTTTTTTTCCAAAATTAATCATTATAGAAATTAACTACCGTAAAACAGGCTAATTATCGCTCATGTAGGGTTAATTCGCTCGAGATACATATCTTTAAAAATTCGATTAACTTATTCTTTAGACGGAAATACGTAAGATTTAGAATTATTTTGGTTAATATAAATATTAAAATTTAGTTTAAAATTTATTTATAGCATATTCATTGGTATTTTCAATAAAAATTATATTTAAAACACAAATGAATAATTTTCATATTGAACAAGTAGTATGAAAAAACAGATAATAGAATTTTACTTCAAAATTTCTACGCTGCATCCTATACTGTAAATTACATTTCCTGTATCACCAACATGATTTTCATAGAGCACAAAACTAAAAGCAATAAATAGATTTGGTAAAAAATCAAATTTGTAGTGTAAATTTGCTCTGGAAATAAGTCTACAAAAAAGGTGTGTGGGCCTGGATATTTTAAGTATGTTAATTATTTTAATTCATTATTCGATTTTTTTAATAATAGTACTCTTATAACTGAAAATTAAATAATTTAAAACGGTCAAAGAACAAAATTGTCAAACTTAACCTTATTTTTTATGGTTATGAGTACGTTTAATTGAATGATTGAATCTAAATACTTATTGATAAAACTATATTGGATATTTATTCCCATAACTTTGGACATTATAGTTCTTAATTTTTTTCTTTATTGATTCTAAAAAACACTTAGCTTTATTATTGCAGAGTATATTATATTTTCATATAATAAACGGCTTATAAATATTTTTCTGCAACATATTTTAATTTCTTTACGCAATAATAGGATATAAAAAGAGTTAATCTATATAAAAAGTTACTTAAAAAAGAATTGAAAAATTGAACGAAATTAGCCTGCTTTGCGGTAATTACCTGAAATTAAATTATTTTTTAAATAAATTTTATTAAATTTCTTTTTCTGATTGATTATTTTATTTTAAATATTGATTCTTTAAAATTCAAAATAATATTTGAATTCATTTCTGTCTGTTCACACTTGAAGTTAGGATTTGTTTGGTTTATTTTTTCTGAGGTTACAGTTTGACATAACAACGACTGTAAACGTTTTTTTAATTTTCATTATCGAATTAAATTATTATTAATTCGAAAAGAAAATTAAGAGTGCAGAAATCCAATTCTGCAATTTATTATTAATTCTTCAACACTTCTTTTGTGGAAAATTGACTGCAGAATGTGAGTCTTTGTTTAAATATTATTTATTTAAAATACATTTTATGGTTATTTATTATTTTTTTTATATTGTTTTTATGTGAAAAACTTTATTTTTTTACTGCTAAAATAAATTTATTTTTTATCATTAAAATAAAATTTTAAATAATAATTTAATTTCAGTTCTGAAGAATTTAATCGACACATTGGAAAAATACACTGATTTGACCGGCGTTTGGTATGTAGAACAACTTTTAATAAATTCATTTAATTTTTAAAATTATTTTTTGTTTATTATTTTTATAATTTTTTCGAAAAACAGTTTGATTTTATTTAATTATTTTAATTATATCGTTCAATAAAATTTTAATTAATGTTTAATTAATTATTATATAATAATAATAATAATAATATAATATAATATAATATAATATAATATAATATAATATAATATATATATATATATATATATATATATATATATATATATATATATATATATATAATATAATAATAATTAATTATATAAAATAATAATAAAATAAATAGATACAATAAAATTTTAATTAATCTATAATTAATTATTATTATTATTTTTAATTAATTTATATAATTTATAATAAATAATTATTTAAACAGATTGATTTAACGACATCTTGGAAAAAGTGCATCAGCAAATAAAAATGGGGAAAATTCATTACGAGACCACGAGTAGCCAGCGGAAATATAAAAGAAAAGGTCATTATCAAACTTCCGGTCGACGTTTGTCAAAGAAATATTCAGCTCGTATGTTGTAAGTAAAAAATCAAATTATGAGATAACAATAATTAATTTATTACTTTATTTATTAATTATTAATAATTAAATAATATATTAATTAATTATTATTTATGAATTATTAAATTAATTTAAATTATTATAAAAAATAAAATTAAAATTAAAAAAAAAAAATTAATTAATAAATTATAATTAATTAATTAATTATTTTTTTTTTATTTTATTTTATTAATTATTAAATTAATTAAAAATTAATTAAATTAAATAAATAACAAGAAATAATTTGTTGATAGATTTTCAAAAATTAAATATTATTATTGTAAAAGAACCAGTTTTCGATAAAGTACTCATTTGTCAAGTAAATATTTTTTTTACATCGCATTGAATCATATTATAAACACAAAATGTTATAATTATTTTGTTCATTACATTTTGTGTGTTAGTAGAACAAAACACTTGCTTTTTAATTTTTTAATTTTAACAAATTTATTTTGTTAGATTACAAGAAAAATATTTAAAGAGAGAGCGAGGGAATACCAATAGCACCCTCTAGGGTGCTTAAATTTAACTATTTTAAAATTGACATTTGGAAGTAAAATTCTAAAGAATTTTGTGGCCTTTTTAGTATTTTTATTTATATATCTAAAATAATATATTTATTTGTATTATATTTTATATCTCTTCAGGTATATAATTCCTTGTGTGACAATATCCCTTTGATTAATTCTTCAATTTTTCATATGATTTCATTTTCACGGTGAGTCTCGATAAAGTTCAACCCAAAAGTCTTGCCACTAAAAATTTTTTTACAGATATTTGTTCACACCTGAAATTAGAATATTTTTCGCCTAAAATGAAAATCATCTGTCGAGGGTTTTTAAGATGAACTCGATTTTTCTCGTTTTTTTGTAGGTTAATTGCTGTTATTTCATTAAAAATTGGATTGTAGGACAAAAGTTCCAATCCAAAAGTTCCAATATACAAAATGTCCAATTTAAAAAAGTTCCAAAGAGGAAAAGTTCCAAAATTATAATTTCCAGTATAAATAATTTCCAAATTTGAAAATACCGAAGTACACACATACCAAAGTAAGCTTTCTAGCTGCATTAATTTTTTCACAATTTCACTCCAAAGTTAGAAGCTTTGACAAAAAAAAGTACAAAAAAAATCAAATATGAAAAACTTTTCTAAAAATTAATCAAATTCGTTTGACACTCGTTACTTTGGGGTTTTCGAGGTCGCTGATTACGAATCCGATGTTAGTTTTTCAAAATTCAAAATAGCGGTTCTAATATGTCGGACAAGTAACAAGTTTTAATATATTAAGACGTTTAGAAGCATGAAATCAACTTGGTAAATTTTAAAGTCGTTTTTCTCGAAATATTTTTTTTGACCTTAGGTCCCTTTTAACGTTCCCTGGCACATATTTAGAAATAAATATAAAAATCTAATACATATAAATAAATAATGCAAATAATAAAAAGCATAAAAAAGTTTTTAAACTCGAAGTTTAAATTTTAAAAAAAATTTTGGACATTTTGATATTTGGAAATAAAAATAATTGGAACTTTTGGCTTTTGGAAGAAAGAATTATTGGAACTTTTGGCTTTTGGAAAAAAGAATTATTGGAACTTTTGGACTTTGGAACAAAGAATTATTGGAACTTTTTTTCTCTGGAACTTATTTTTTGGAACTTTTGTCCTCCAACCAAAAATCGAGATATTAAATTTATTTTTTCTTTATTTTTCTCCTTTAACGTCTCGTAAACAATTTCCCATAGATGAAGATT